ACGTAACGCTGGGGGGCCTCGCCTCCGATAGCGGCGCTGATGGAGGGGAGGTAGTTAGGGACCTGGAAGAGAGACAGCGGCCCATGGGGAGAAGCATAGGGAGTGTGTCATATTGTCGCATTTATAGCTCTCCAAGATGCTAAAACTGCTTTTTTTTTTTTCTCTAAGTAAGTTTATTCCTATTTCAGAAGCCAGGAAACATACCACAGCAGCAACCCTGGTTCATCCCCCAGGACCACGCAGTCCCCAGCACGCTGCTCCCAGCCCTGTAGGCTGCAGGGACAGTCCCCAGGCGCTGGGATGCCCTGCTCAGGGTCCTGCTCGGGTTTCTTAGCTTTACACTTTTGACCTTTATTCCTTCCCTTTGCTCAGTCGTGGTCTCCCATGTCTTCTGTGCCCCCAAGTTTAGGGAGAGAGGAGAAGAGGGTGCACAGTTTTGTTAGCCCAACCCTAACGGAGAGAACTGATAGCAACAGCAGGAAAAGACAGTGTTCAGGGAAAAAAAAAAAGCAGGAAAACTATTAATGCAGCCCCGGAATAAACTCCCAACCTCCAGAGTTTCACAGCTCGGGGACTTCCCAAGCCAGCCACATTTGCTATGCACCAGGTAATCCGTTCTTCCACAAACTTGCTCGGTCTCCCCTGGAGCCCACACAGAACTGTGCATCCCCAGTGTCCTGCAGAGAGGAGTTCCCCACATTGGCTGCTCTCATGGCGTCCAAGAAGGAGCTGGTTCCTCAAGCAGAACCTGCCACCGCCACATGACATCCCCTACTTCTCATACTGGCAGAGGGCAAGCAGCGGATCCCTGCCTGCGCTCCCCAGGCCAGCCATGCCCTCAGACGTCTCTGTCTCACCTCTCCCCACTCTCAACCCATCGTCTCTTCCCACGTGCGGCTGAAGAGCCCTCGCTCCACCACCCCAGGAACAAGAGCTGCATGACACCTCCGAGCATCCTTGCTGCCCTGCGCCATACAGCTGAGTCCTGAGAAGGGGGCAGAACCACATGCTGGGTATGCACATTGCTTATTTCTCCCAACCAAACTGCCCTGGCATTTCGTTGCTCCATCATCCCCCTCGGCAGCCTGCCTCACCCTCCCTGCACCAGGACCTCGGCATCGCCATCAGCCTGTGTCACCTCACGCCGTACGGGCACGAGGAACGCCACAGACTCCATAGAGCCCTGCTGGTGTGAGAATGGCTCCTGCCCTCTGTTCCCAGGTTGTAACCAGCCGCTCACCCACGCTTGTGCAGTGACTGCTTGAAAGCCCAGGGGAGCAACCGAATCTCAGCCCTTTGGGAAATCCAGGCAGTCCTTCTCAACCCAAGCTGCCCAGGCATGTGCTTGTGACTCCTCGGAAGAACTCCAATAGATCTGAGGGACAGCAATTCCTTTTATAAAAGCTGGGCTAACTCTTCCACAAGACAGTACATTTATCTGTAGATTCACCAGTTTTATTTCTTACCGTAATCACCACCAATGTCCTCAGTACAGACATCAGCCTGACCAGTCTGTACTTCCCTAGGTCCCTTTTAAAAACCCAAAACCTCGTTTGCCAGTCCTGAAGCATCACAAACACAATACCATAAAGCAGCTTATTCGAGATCCTGTAACACTTCTGGTGAGAAAGCCCAGAAGAAGAAAGGAGCCCTGCCACCCCACCGGCTGCCCCAGCCGAGCAGCCAC